ACAGAGCCAAGACACTTTCATTTCATTCCCTTCCCTCCTATCTGATGTGTCCCATTCTACTCTGCTCCTTTTCGTACATTCCCTCTTCCCACACTGGATCCATTTATAGTTCTGCATCATCTACAATGCGAAAAAAATTAACCCATAACTTACTTCACTCTGTGAGATATCACCTACATTTGTCCTTAGAGTAGATGGAAATGAGCTAATAATTCCATACTGTGGAATATTTCATTATCACATTAAAAGAATATTTCTTTATTAGAAAAACATCACAAGCCCCTCCTACTAGAGCAGATATTATGAGCTAATTTTTACTGAGTGTTTTCTCTGTGCTGGTTGCTGATGATAACATTTAGATTTTATCATAATCATCCATGTCCTGATTCAATTGTCCAGCAAACCATGGTGCAGAGAAGGTGAGAACCTTGGCCAAGTTCTACAGTGAGCAAGTGGTGAAGCTGAGATTTGAGTCAAGCAGCCTGATTAATTCTGAGCTGTGGCTGTGAAGACACCAACCTCCTCGAGGTCACTTTTCAGAGTTAAAAATGAACGGTGATAATTGCAAGAAGGTACATTGTTTACTTGTCAAAACCAAAGAAAGGCTCTGGAAGGTGGGTTTCTTTGGCTTCTCAGTCAACATTCCCCCATCTTCACTGTTGAACCTAAAGCAAATGGATCGTTTCCACATGATGGCATTTTAGGTCTCTAGTTACTACGTAGCAACACTTTGAGTTCCTGTACTTCTGGCTCAGCCTCTAGCAGATATACCACTGCAGTAGAAGAATTCCTCCTCAAACCATTCAGTCTTCTAGTCGCTTCAGTTCAGAGCTGAGAATTAGCTTAAGCCAAGTTTAATCACCATCTAGAGTAACAGAGGTGGAAGAAAAATAAAAAACGATCAATTATTCTAAGTGGCTTATCATTACCAAATGCAGTAGTGTTTGGAAGAATCAATTTTTTTCCACTTTCTCTTAGTTTTACATTAGCTATTTCTCTGAATTCTTATGCACCTATTGTTAGTCACTTTAACTGTATTATATCCAATCCTTAGAGCAACTCCAAACAACAGGTGGTTGTAGTATTAGTAGTAGTTTACTGATGAAAATTAAAACCATAGCCTAGAAAAGGCAATTACTCTCTTGGGGGCGCTCAGCTAATAAGTGGTGGAAGCCTGATTGGAACTTGAATCTTTCTGGATCTCAAGCCTCTATCTTCTAACCCACTCTACTGCTATACCATAAAAGTCTCTTCGCAAATATTACAAACGTCTTCTCCCTCTTGGATAGAAATGTTTCATGATGATCACAAAGAAAAATAATACAGCTCATCTCAAGGCTTGATTACTGAATATAATCTCATGAACTATGAAGTAGTTATGCCAGCGAAGTGCATAAAAATGCAGCTCAGATTTATATATAGTAGAGATGTATAGGATTAATGTAACTGTTGAGGTGTGTGATCTGATATCTGTAAGTTTATAAGGATGAGATGAAATAAAACAATGCTGAGGTACAAAAGTCTTGAGTTAGAAGCGTTCATAGCAAGGAATAGGGATTGTAGAATGCCAGTGTATGTGAAATACAGAATGTGCCAGAGAGCACGCTGCCCAGGGGAAATAGAAAATGGCATAGTAAATAGGTAATTACACACTATATTTGCCTCTATAAGAGTCATTTCTTTATCCTAAAACCAATGGGAAGTCATCAAATAAGATTTAACTCTGTGTGCAGGGGTGCTGAATGTGTGTAATAGGAGTGTGTGTGTGTGTGTGTTTTATGTGTGATGTTGGTAGTGTTGCTGATGATCCAACTTACAATTTCATAAGCTAATCATGTTTACTCTTACACTTTTTCAACATTTACTGTCTCATTTAATTATGCCTTTATTATTTAATGATAAGAAATCTAGAGTGGAAAAATGGAAATGTGCATTCCAATGTTAGCATAGATTTCTTAACTTACTTTTTTGGAAATAGAAATCCTTTATTTAGTCCAAATTAACACAACTTTGACTTCAACTCCACTCTTGTTGAATTAAGGCAATTGACTGTGTATTCAATGATGATTATAAACATAAAATTAAAGAATACATGCAAAAATATGTAAGTAGAGATAAAGATTAAATACATAAAAATTGTTGATTGCCTATGGTGATAAAGCAAAAAGAGAATAAGGTACAGAGTTAGGAATGAATACATGTAAATTTAAAAGATCCTGTAGTTAACTTAAAAGTATTGAGTAATAGTTTTTACAATAGCATTAGCTCTCTAGGGGTAGATCACTTAAAGACAATAACTGTAATATATTGTTAAAATTTTCCTTCATTGAATAATCCAAAAAACAAAATAAAAGAAAGTATTATATGCTTTAATGTTGAGTGAGAAGTCCTGGGTACTTTCTAATCTTAAAATTTAACACCCCATTTAAATCCTCTGAGCCTGCTGCCTCAAATATAAAACAGGGATAATAGCTTTTCACCACCTCTGTGATTCCTAGAGCTAACATTTGAAATGCCTTGAAAATGCAGTTTTCCAAGGGACCTAAATGTGTGTAATTTTTCAGAAATGTACTTAATATTTTCATTTTCCATCTATCATTAAAGCAGCACAGTCTCAGAGACTGATTAGGACTTGGAGACATAGCTTTGTACAACTAGGCAAATAGGCATTGAGCCTTGAAAAAAAATAATGATTCAGATTGAGAAGTAACTTTTCTAATTATTAAAAATGTAATTCCAGTGTTTATGCCATGTATATCTAAGATAAAATATCAATAATTGTTTCCATTATGACAAAGTATAAAGTAAATACAGAGGCTGGGCTGAATAGTTATTAAATCTATTCCAAGACTTTTTTTCCTAATTGTAATTATAGATTACCTAAAAATCTAGACCAGAGTTGTGTAACAGTTTGCTTGAAATTGACTCAGCTTGAGTAATGCTTTAAATATATCTGAAGATCTGGTTGTATAACGAAAGACACTAGTAGCTTTGTATGAATCCCTGTCCTTTGCTTATAAACCTCAATGTTTGAGATGCACGGTGCCCCCCAGCTTGAGATTAACTTAGAGTAGAGCTTCATGACCTCAAAGTCATTGATATTTTAGGCAGGGTGAAATTTTTCTTTGGGGTTTTACTGTACTAGATGTTAGCCAGCGTGACTCACCTCTGTCCACTGAATGACAATGACACCTATCTCTCAGATGTAACAGTTAAAGTGTATCTTGTCTTTCTCATATGTCTTCTGAAAGGGAAAATTGCCTTTCATTGAAAATTATGGTTTGCAATCTGATAAGGATGTTTAATATATAGGGGCTGTGGTTTAAGGAAACATTTCTAGGAAGAAAGAAAAAGGAAAAGGACAAAAATAAAATTGATGGGGCACAGGATTTAGCTCAGGGCTCCACCGCCTTCCTCACAAGTGCAAGGTCCCAAGTTTGATCCCCAGTGCCCCCCCCAAAAAATGAAATTGACCCATTTTTATTTATTCTGCTTTTCTCTTCCTTTCTTCTTGCCTTGAGGACAATTGCCTGGAACTCTGGCTGCCACTTTGAAACCATGAGCCAATCACCATAAAGGAAATATCAAAAAAATCACAGGAAGGGGCCAGGGACTTAGCTCAGTGGTTCTGCCACCTGCCTCGCAAGCACAAGGTCCAGAGTTCGATCCCCGGTACAAAAAAAAAAAAAAAAAACCCACAGTATTTCCTATCGTTTCATCTTGACCTTATCCAAGTAGTAGTCTTTCCCTCCACGTGTGTGTGTGTGTGTAAAAATCTTATTTACTTAGTAATTATTCAACATCTTTTCTATTCATATAGGAGACCTCATATACACTGATACACTGATAACTGTCTTTCTTCATTCCTTACCAGGCATAGAGGAACTAGGAGTTTAGAGGAGGAAGGGAGTCAAAAGGGATTGTTGCTTGAAAAAATTCACCTAGGAACTCTGGGGAGAAAGGTATCACAGGGTACAAAGAACACAGGTGTGTCAGTAGAATGCATATTTACTTTAGTTTTTAATAATAAGAAAATATAAACAAGGATTGGTTGAGAATCAAATAGCTTTTAAGATATTTTAGACAGAGATGAAGTATGTAAAGTACTTGTATGCAGAGCCTGGATAGAAAGGGACAAAATGCCAACTATAAATATATTGGGAAGCCATGGTTTTGTAATGTTAGACATTTTCTCTTTGGTGCTATTTTAAATTTATGTAGATTGTTTCAAATATAATAAGTATTTAAGTGATTTATCATTATTTAGTTTCTACTTTTCCACGCCAAAATTTAAAAGTATCTTGTGTTTGGGCATGTGTGTTATGTGTGTGAATGTCCTTTAAAAATCGTATGTCCGGGCTGGGGATTTGGCTCAGTGGTTTCGCACCTGCTGCGCAAGCGGAAAGATCTGAGTTCCATCCCAGGCACCAAAAAAAAAAAAAAAAAAAAAAAAAAAAAATCATATGTCCATTTTTTTGGTTTTTTGTCCATTAGTATTTTTAATTCTTCATTTTTATAAAGCAGATAACACCTCCTTTCAGGTTGTGAAGACTAAATAGTTTTTTTAAAAATATCTAAGAATAGTTCCTAACCTATGGTAAGTTCTTAATACAAAATTCATTCACTCATTCCAAAAGATGAAGCACTACTGGTCCTTGTGGTTTTCTGTATTTTGCAGATGTTCCAGATTTTTACTTTCTTGTTTAGCTATGCTACTTTCAATAACTTGCACCTATAGGATAAAATGTTAACAAGTCCATTTGCAAACTCTTCACATTTATCAAATCAGCATGTTCAACCCATTTCACTAAATAATTGTAATTTAAGATTCGGGCTCTAGGGCTGGGGATTTAGCTCAGAGGCACTGCACCTGCTTCCCAAGTGCAAGGTCCTGAGTTCAACCCGTTACCAAAGGGAAAAAAAAAAAAAAGATTCAGGCTCCAGTCCCCTGATAACAAATTAAACTACTGGATTATACTTAAAGAAAATCAGAATGAAAATGAAGTGCCAATGACATAATTGTCACATCTTTTTTATTTTCACCTACATAGTTTATGGGGTCTTATGTTTTCTGGTAAACATATTTAAAAAACAAGATTATCTCCATTATACAAAAAGAATTATAGGGTATATTGTTTTCAGAAAGCAGGTAGGTGCACTGCAAACCTGTTGAACAAATCTTCCTAGTTAAGCTAATGTTGCAGAATGAAAACTGTGATTAAGAAGTCTTCTGTTAAGAATACTTGAGAGCTTCAAAGGAACGTTTAGTTTCCTCCACAAAGAGCCACCAGAATTTTTTCATAATCTCCTTTGGTTTCATCCTGTTGATTCAAAAATAGAGTACACTTAAAGCTATGAAACTCATAATCAATATATTCTAATTATAGAATAATTATTATCTTTTTAGACTTAGGTATAGGTCAGATCATACATTTCAGTGCATCATTATCTGATACTATTGATCAAAATACTGTTCATTTAATTAAATAACGTGTAGAGCGATAACTAATAGATCTGGATTGTTGTACAAAAAGCAAAACCTTTCAAGATTCAGATTACAAACTTCTCTGAATTTATTATAGTAGAGGCACTGCTTTTAAAGAACGAAATGCAGTATCACACAGAATTAAATAAAGTATAATAGTATAAAATCTCATATCATACATGAGGAAATACCTGATTCGCTCATCAGAAAGAGACAAAGTTATAAGTTTGTAACTTTCTTACTTATTCTTGGTAGATTTTATGAAATAAAAATAGTGATGTGAATTTAAGTTGTTACCTATTTTTCAATAAGCTCAAAACTCTTGACTTTTCTGTCTTATTTTTCAATGCTCTAATGAGTTAACTTGAAATTTTTTTTTTTTTTTTAGTATTCAAGATTGAACTCAAGGCCTTCACACTAAGCTATATCCTCAGCCCTTGGTTTATTTGTTTATTTTGAGATGGGGCCTTGCTAATTTGTCAAAGCAGGACTCAAATTTGTGATCCTTGTGCCACAGTCTGTGAACATATATTTTAAACATTTTATATATGACAAAATTAAGAAAATATTTTAAATAAGTTCCTTATCCTCTAATGTTATTATTTGCAAAATAAACCATAAAATCTATCTACACTGTGAGAAACTAAAATACTTTAGAATACTATACATGGAAAACTAAACATTTCCATGATTTTAGTTGAAAAATGTACCTAGTTCTCTGGTATAGAACTTACTAGTAAATTTTTTTTACTTATGAATTAGCCACATAACATTGAATTAATCTTATATATGAAATTCATAGACACAGTAAGTCAGTTCTTCCCTTTGAAGATACCACATGAACTTTCATTTGTGTAAGCAGCCTTGTGAATATCACAACATACCAGAATGGCTTGGCAAAGGGAGATGCCATACATCTTCTGATAGTATACTTTGATATCATTCATGTCGATTTCAGAACGAGAGACCATAATCCTGATCAGCGCCTTATGACGTGTTCCAGGACCCTGTCCAAAACAAATCACAGTGTCTCTCATAGTCATAAAAATACTCCCATTAATGAACACAGATTTTAAATTGAAGTCCATTTACCCCTCCATAGAATCTCTGTAAGAGAAACTATCTCCATATTCACACATACACACACACACACACCCACACACACACACACACAAGTACACAAGTAGTAAGGAAGTGACAAGATACATGCTGCTAATTTAACCGTCAGTGCAAAGAGCTTTTTTACAACCTCCTAACTGGCCTTCCACTGTCCAAGCTTTTCTAGACCTATTCAGTAATTACAACTGCAGTAGACTTTTTCTGAAACTGTAAATTTGCTCATTGAATTCATCTTTTCAAAACACTTTGGGATTCTCCTATTGCTCTGGTTTTCTGGATGAAAACCAATCACTTTAACAGAGCTTACAATGCCTTGCCTAATTCTACAACCTCTTCTATGGTGCATCATTACTCTAATTAGATTTACTGTTCTGGAAGTGTTGTTTGACCTTCTGTGTTCAAATTTAGGTCTTAACTGACAGCAAGGCTACACAGACTTCTGAAGCCATGGGCATATGGAACTCTGTGCTTTCTTGTAGTACTGGGTATTCATCTTATCCATCTGAATATCACACAGGATAGGGGCAGCCACTGTGCTAACTACTATACTGTTCCAATTATTTTAGGTTAACATGCCTAACATGTCATTTCACAGAGGCCCCTTAACATTAACTGATTGGTGTCTCTCTCTCTCTCTCTCTCTCCTTCTCTTTCTCCCTCTCTCTTTCTTGGATTTGCAAAGGGATAACAAAGGTAACTTCATCATTATTCATCTGAGAGCTCCAAATATAAATATGGAAGTGGTGTCCTATATAATACCATGCATGTTACAGAGTGATGTTGAAGCAAAATAGTTGGGATATTTCAAATACATCTTGATATGACCTTCTACTTCTGTAAACATGAAATGATATTTTTAAAGATTCAATATTAATCCATGACATGAAGCATAACATAATAAAAAAGGCAAATGAAACTTAGAAAGTGGAAATAATAAAACTCACAACCTTACTACAAATAGGTTACTAAATTCATACATTCAATCAACCTTTCCTTGGCAGCTCAGGTTTTAAGCAAATCACAAGTCACCCATAAATTATTTAATAAGCTCACTTTATAATAACATCTGTATATTTGTAAAATGCACCAAATCTAACAGAAGTTCATTTTAATAAAGTAGGATATTACCTCTTACATTAATAAAACAATGATTTTTTTAGGTGAAAATACCAAATGTGATTTTCAAAGAATACTGGAATTTCTGTTCTAGCTACAAATTATTTTTCTTCTAAGAAAAGCTTATAAATAAAATGATACCTTTATGGCCTGATGAAGCTTCTCAGCAAAGAAAGCCGGTTTGCTTGTGGCACATTTCACTGCAAGAAAAGTAAATTTTAATTGTTTAGATGTATTTACCACAAAACAAAAAAGATTCGTATGAAAGAAAAGAAGTAAGAGTTTTGCCAGCAGGATTCTGCACCCACGATTATCCAGCCCCTCCTCCCAATATGGATATTGAGCTAATAGGAAGATATTAAGACCATCTAGATGGTGGTTTTGTATATTCCCTTCACAGACAATATCATTTATTTTTTAGTTGCCTTAAATCCACACCATTAGCAACTTTAAAATTCCTGCTATTTTGAATAAACTGCTCTTGGGCATAGAAGTGTTAAAGATCATGAAAGTAAGTATTTGACCAGTACTTTAATAAGAACCCTAAAAATAAATAAATTAATTAAACAACCCAGGACAGGACAAGCTTTAAATATAAGCAGCTGCCCAGACAAAATACGATCATAACTCAATATGTAGAGTTCTTTTTTTAATCTATCTTGCTACACAAAGTGGTACCTGTGAACCAACAGCATCAGTATCCAGCAGAATCTTGTTAGAAATGCAAAGCCCAGGCCCCAGCCCAGAACTACTGTATTACTATCTGCATGCTAACACAATTCACAACAAATTCATCCATTAGCACAGTATCACTGAATATACAATTTCTCGTTAATAAACTCTTCCCATCCAGGACTACCTACCAATGGCCGTGAGGCACTTCTCAATGTCACCTTTCAGCTCCAGGTCCAGAGCTTTGTTCATGTCGTGCTCACTGTACTTGGTGTATTTCTGAAACACTGAACATTAAATTTCCACTAAGATTGGTACAAATCCTAGCGCTTTTTAACAAACTTCACCAAAATCAGCATTACTGACTCAAGGAATCCTTTGGGATAACCAAATGTCAGCCACATTTTAAAAAGCTATTCACACACCTTGGCATAACATGGAGATTTCATCTTCTCCTAGTAATGTAAATCACATGGAAATTTTGATACTCCCATACATTTTGGAGGAAATGTTTGCAAGGGCCAACAGTTATTAGAAATGACATGTCATTGACAACTATATGGACCTTACCTTAGTAAAGGTCTGCACAGTAAATTTTCTTGTTTAAAATTTGATGTCATGTGTTAGTATCAGATAATGAATTTTAGGTAGTAAGATAATTTTACCCTTACCCTGGCTTCCAGGAGATTCAGGGCTTGTGCAAAAAGTTCATCATCATTTTCAAGTTTTTTTTTATTGTTTGTTTTGTTTTCCTTCACTGGAATTTCATTTGCTCTGTAGTATGTGACTGTTGTTATATAACTATTTCAAATCTTTTGGGAAATTAGGAACAGTGGAAATAAAGAAATGGTACCCCAAAGTCACAAACACGCTGGCAATACTGTGATGATGTCTGTACAGTTGCACAGATGGACAAACAGTAACAACAGGTCAGGAGAACCACACCCTTGTTATATAGAAGAGACACCAACTAGGACTTCTCTCTTTTCTTTCTCTTATGTGCACTCAATAAGAAAACTTGAACGTCCCATACACAGGTTCCAGAATCATTTCTTTTACCTCTGCGAAGGTGGGAGTAGCTACGGGTGGTCAGAATGGTGTTGAACACATTCACATCCGTGCCCTTTCTCCTTTCTCCTGCTTCAAATAAGGCCTGTCAGGAAATGCAACAATAAACACGTGACTCTGCTACATTGATTCTGGCACAAGAATGTTAGATCTCCTCACATATTTCACAGGCAATGGCTTTGTGCTCAATACAATCCAAGTAGGCAATACTAAGTGTGTATGTTCGTTAAAGACAGGGGCCTTGCTTTGTTTGTCAAGTATCCTGCACAGTATCTTTCAAGGTGCCTGGTGAACATTAGAAAGTGAACATATGTTTGCAGAATATATATTTGCTGAGTGGAATTGCCTTAAGATTATCTCTATGAAGATAACTCCAAAGGACCCCTAAAGATTTTCTTTACTCTTTATTGTTCAAAGTCATTATCAGCAAATGGTACTTGTAAATTAACAATTCAGCCACAACATAGAACTTCCACTTTGTTGTTACAGTTTCTACATTCAAATTCTAGCTCTGTAATTTAAAAGCTGTATGATCTTAGAAAAATAATTTAACCTTAGTAACCATACATTTTCATCTTTTGAAAAAGGAAAAAGATAATTATTCCCTTATTATCACAAGTACACTCTGTTAATTTTGAAATGTTAATTATTATCATCATTCTGGGTCACACTAATCCATGTAGTGTTCATAAATATACATTTTAGAGCCCTGATAGTCTTAAAATAGAAAGCACACTTAGAAATGTCACAAGCAAATAAGAATAATCTTTATTGTGGGCAATTGTTCAAATAATAACTTGGTTTTGATATGCTTATAATTTCTATTAAAATTCTCAAGCTTCCAATGGTTAAAAAAATTATTTTGCACATTTCAAGCCAATTGATCTACCATGTATGTACTTAATTTAACAAAAATTTAATCAGGGTATATTATGTGTGAATAATGTACTTGTGGAGTGAGGGTGATATGCGTGGACAAATAATTTTCTATTCTTACTGGCTCATTGTGGAGAATTTTATATACAGAATACTATTCCACGAGTAAAGAATAATGCAAATAATGGTTAGTGTTTTTAAAAATCAAAATTTCATGTCTTAAATGTCATTTTCTTCTAATGGTTTGGTGTATGAATAACTGGAAATCCCACCAAAACTATACGCAACAATATATAGTAAATAAGAATTATATAAAAATTACAATATCATTTTGTTTATATCTATGAACTATTTTAATAATCACTGTTTAAAGAATGTTACATTCCTTGCTATTTCCATTTCACTTAATAAATAATTTATTTTGCCTTACTTATACGTGGTAAAGTAAAAATTCAGTTTTTTCTATAAAACCATTTTGGGAAAGACAAATAAAATTTTCACTGTTCTCTTTTAATACTCTCTGGCTTTATGAAATCTGCTGAAAACTTAAGATGGTATTTTTCACTTTTAGGCTATAAACTTGAGTCTCATTCAGGGAATGAGCATTACAGAACCGCTGGCTTCTCAGCAGATCTGAGATTTGATTTCAGGCCAAGAGCATCAAACAGTGACCTGGTGTAAGCTGGGAGGGCTGTTTTCCGAGCCCTTGCTTACCCTGGCATCTGTGTCAGCCAACTCGTCATTCACACTGAGATCCTCACACCGATCACCCTGGAAAACATCCATCTTATTATAAACTTCTCCATACCACATGATCATATGATTTACTTAACTTCTCTTAAGCCAGATAAATAATATTCTTTGAAAAACAGCAGGTCAAAAGGAAATCTTATCATTTACGACATCATGGATGATCCCAAAAGACATTGTAACATGTGAAGTAAGTCAGGCAGGGAAAGACAGATGCATCGCAAACTCAGCTACATTTGGAATTTAAGCAGGTTGACCTCATAGTAGCAGAGAATAGACTGGAGAGTACTAGAGACTTTGAAGAGGAGAAGAAAGGATGGGGAGATGTTGATCATGGGGTACAAAGTTTCTGACAGGTGGGGAGGAAGAACAAATTTTGGGGTTTATTGCACAGCAAGGTTGCTATTGTCAATATAATGTATTGTATATTTCTTTTTTGGTACCAGAGATCGAACTTGGGTCCTTGCGCTTGCGAGGCAGGTGGTGGAACCACTGAGCTAAATCCCTGGCTCTGTATTATATATTTTTAAGTAACTGAGAGGGAATTTCAAGTGTCTAACTATGAAGAATTGGTAAGTAATAAGAATGTGTTATTTATCTTTTTATTAATTCCACATAATATTCATGTACGAAGACATCGCATGGCACCCTGTAACACATATAATTATGATTTATTAATTAAAATTATAAAGTATTAATTTCTCATTTTTAGAGAAAGCACAGAGATAAGATTTTGTTCTTCATAAGAGCAGAGGTGTTTCCTGAAGTTTTTGAATTTTACCTTAACAAGAGAAAGCAGAGCCTTCTGAAAATCTCCAGACGTGTCTGAGGTGATATCTTTGGCCAAATCTCTTTTCAGTTCTGAGAATAAGGAAAAATAGTATTTTGATTAAACTCTTACAAAATAGTGATACCAATAATAGAATCAATATCTGACCTGTCTGTATTAGCTTGAATTTACAGTGCTACAATATTCGATTCATAGGACACATTTCAAAATATCATCATTTTCTTTTATAAAACAGAGAAATTAGAATAGCTGAAACATTACATTATCAAATTTATTTCCTAGAGACCAACAGAAGTATTTGAATTCTACTGGAAATGAAAGCCCGTATTGTAAAATTTTGCCAAGGAGAAAAAATTATTTATTTGGACATTGTCAAATTATTAATTCTGATATACAGCGTGGCAAAAATATCATCAGTAGGATGAATACAAAGTTATTTAATAGGATAAAATAGAGACAACTGCTTGAACGTAAAATTTTCTACTTTAAAAATTATAAATATTTTATATGTAATACACTGATATATTTATATATAATTATCTATACATACCTACTTACATATATAAAATAATCCTTAATAGAAAACATTAACTGAATTTATAATTGACCAGAAACAGTAATTTAATACAGCCATTAGACTTTACTGTTTATATAGTATATAATAAAGGAATATGGAAATTTACCTTTATAAACTTTTATCAAATTAAAATTAATAATGACCATTTTTATTACTGCATTATTGCCACTGGTAAATCTAAGATAAACATTGGTAAAGACATATTATTACAGAAAATGAAATTCAAAGCTTCCTTGTTTTGATTCCTTTACTAAATAGCTCTGAAAACAATATGCAAGAACTATTGTACTCTCAGTATACGGAGCTACATATTGGCTTGGGTAAATAAAGCCAGCAGCTCAAGGAAACTAGAAAAGGCAAAATGGCAGTCAGGTGTGGTGACACATGAATGTAATCCTATATTCCTAGCACTCTGGGAGTCTGAGGCAGGAGGATCATAAGTCAAGCCTAGCTTAGGTAATTGAATGACTTATTGAAACCCCGCCTCAAAATCAAAAAGGGCTGAGGACATAGCTTAGTAGGAAGACCCTAGGTTCAATCACCACCACAAAAACAAGAAAGAAAGGAAGGGAGGGAAGGAGGGAAAGAGGGAGGATGAGAGGTGGGGGCGGGGAAGAGAAAGAAAGAGACAGAGAAAGAGGAAAGAAGGAGAGAGAGAGAGAGAGAAATAGCCAAAGACTTGCATCTATTATCTTCCAAGTACTGAGCATGTCACTTAGGTGAGCTGAGCTGTCTCACTGAATACATAAAATGAGCCGTATCTGATCTTTCAACTCCATGAATCCAAACAGATAAAAGTGATTCACTCATTTATGCTATAATAGCAAAAAACTACCTAATTCTTTACCTTTTCAAGGACAAATGGTGAATAATATTTGAAACTTTTAACAACTTACATAACTCTTCAAAATAAAACATTTTTATGAAATAAGTCCCAGGATAATAGAAAATGTTCTTTGGAATTTCCTCAAGTTCAGAGCTATGAATCAAGTTTCCATGATAACATGTATCCATTAATTCTGGGTGGACTTTTTCTATTAAAGTGCAAGCTCCATGTAGGTAGGGTCATGGGCTGTTTCCTTAGGATGTTAGCACACTGAATGTTGCCTGGTAACAGTGTAGACATTCAGTAGACATGTGCCCAACAGTAAAGAAACATTTTAATATACAGACTTCCCAAAGTCTCCATAAGTAACATATACATTACATTTTAAGAAAATGCATCAGATTTCCTTTGCAATTAAGGTACTGAACTGTTTGACGTTACAACTTACCATCTCTGTAGACTCTATTAATTTCTCTGATTTCTCTGTTGCTTCTTGATGTCAAAATTTCAATGAGGGTGTCTTCATCAGTTCCAAGTCCCTAAATTAAAAGAAAAGGAAAGAAAGGATGTATAGGAAAAAATCTTTATTCAAAAGGATAGACTAGTTTTTCATCACAAAATTTATTGAATTTATCATTTAGTCATTTTTACCCATAATATTTAATAATTATAATAAACTCTTTATTACATTGCTTTAAAGAAAAATGCATATGCAGCCAATTTGTGGTGGAGATATTAAAAATGCAGATATTTGACTTACACAGTGACATTATAAGGAGGGTATTAATGCCAACATTTATTTCCTCATGTACCTACAGATTCATTCTTTGAATTATTAATGTACTCACTCTGAATTCCCACTAATGGACAAGCACACTGACGACAAGACAGCAGGAATATGTAAACTTTATACATTGTGCCAGGGACAGGAGCTTTGGCTAAATTGGTGATTTACCTTCATGGCAGCACGGAGCTCATCTGCATCAAACTGGGCTGGAGTTTTCAGCAAACCTAAAGCCACTTCTTCTACATGACCTGTGAGGGCTTTCTTCAGAGCTTCATCTAGTGGCTGTAAAAAAAAGTTTAGCACTAGGGTTTCTAATATCTTACTTTATAGCAACATGGTATTATCTGTTCATAGGTCATCTTATGACAAATCCCTAAACACAATAATTTAACACCTTTCTTTCATATTGAAAAGTATACTAGATATTAGGAATGTCATCTTAACTTTTTAGATCTAGTAGGATTAGATGAGATTTACTGAATCCACTGGTAATTTCTTGCAGGATAGGATTCTCAGAGTTTTACACAGAGAAGAAGCTATATGTCAACAAAAACAGTAATGAGAATACTCTAAAAGATGTGTATTAATTTTTCTAAGCTTTGAGATTTTCATTGCTCAAATAAGCATTATAATCAGTAGTTGACATTTTACAGTTTTCTAAATGCACTGACTTAAAAAAAAGAACTACCTACATTTGCTGTAAGATATAAAGTTTACTTCTAAAGTAGAATTACACACAAATTTTAGATTTCAGGTGCTGCAGCTCATTTTGAATGTTAGCAGAAGATACAGTTCAATGAAAACATATTCCTTATGGTCTATGGTAATTTTGATACTTGCTAGGTTCAAATTGAAGACCTGTCCCCAATACAAAACATCACATCTAGAAGGAATTTACAAGATGAGGACTGTATGAATCCAGTAAATGTGTTAAAATTGATTCATTTGCAACAAAGTGGATAAATACTACAACCCCAGTTTGAGATGAAATGGAAAATAATAGTTACAAACTGAAACAATTAGATAAATGTGCTTCAGAATCCATGTTTCTGCATAAATTTGAGCCAAGTCAAATATCTACCTTGACCACTCTAACCTACCTTTCCTTTTTCCTGGAGGTAGGCTGCTTTGATCTGTTGACGCTGAGCATTGTTTCTCTTAGTTAGAATGTCAATGATGGTTGCTTCATCCACACCTGGAAATAAGGAGTCTCCAGGTTTTAAACTCAATTTGCTTGACACAAAATTATTCATTATCAAGATGTTCCACATGCAGTTCTTAACACACTAAAAAAATATAAATTTTATCAGCCTAGGAATTAACTACACTTCTTACCAAGCTGGAAGTCTTAAGATGACATTTTATTCATTTGAATGAGAAATAAGGAGCCAAAAAATTGCTCCTGGACCTAGTCAAAAATTAGCCAATAAATTGCTCCTGAATGTCAAAGTATTTGATCCTAATTCAAACCCTAAATGTGATCAGCTAGGTTGATTCTGGATTTTTGCTGCCGAGTTTCTGAGGGTGAACTCATAAAGATAATTTGCCACAGCAGTAGACAATCCACTGATTTGACCATAATTTTCTAAGTACTGAGAAGGAAATATATCTTCATTTGATAGAGATCTTATCATCAAAATGAAAAAGCTTCTTTCCCTTGCTCCTGTCCGTTTTCTGATAAGCTTTCAAAGAGCACTCTGAAATGTCCAGGATGGGTCTGTTTTCAGGAAACACACTCACCTTTCACTGTTATGGCTTTGTGAAGAGCAGCAACATCAGAGGAGGGATTAAAGCTGGGGTAGGGGCTCACGGCTGAGCCAGGACCGCCTTTGGATGATTTCACACTTTTCTGTGGATCAGAGACTCGTAAATTAATATCCATTCAATTGCCATAGTTTTAAAATTTAATATTGTAACTGCATCACTTTATTATCACTCTACTTACAATGTAGTCCTGTTCTTGACTGTCAATAAAACGGGCCTGCTTGAGGAATTCTGATACCATTGCCATTTTAAAGAAGTGTCTAGAAAGAAAATAGTAGACGCTTTTAAAAAATAAACCACCCTCAAACATTCTCCCTTACATATATATGACATATGGTTATTGTGTAATCTTGTCCTTCCTTGTTAGAATTATACTTCAGAACATAATAAAATGTGGGGTATAGGCATTTTTTAAATGATCATATACTTAAAAAGAAGTCCCTGGCCTCTAAGCAGAAACTGGGCTCTTTCTTGAAAAATTCAGCCCTAATCCCTAGAGATCAAATGACTACCACAAGGGAGCATGTTTGCTGAAGAGGAGAGCTGGTGATTGATTTCACATACTACATTTACAAACCACCATCAGCCCAGCTCTCGGGTGCAAAAGCACTGAAATTACCATCCTTTGCCTGGAGGAACCTCCAGTTAGTGTGTTCTCTGCCAGGAAAACCACAAAGGCTAAGCAACTTCTTAGAGGAAATGTTGCCTGGGCAGTCTCTCTTGAAATGAGTCAAGATGAATGCAGCAGAAAGGTAAAGAGAATAAAGCAGAGAGAAGCTTATCACACTTGGGAACTGAAGAAAAATTTTGCTGAAACAAAAAATGCTAACAGAAGCTGAAACAAAAATGTTTAAATATATGCCCAAAGCTTTAGGAAAGCATTGGTAGGTTTGCATAAAGAAAGTAGCGTGACTCTGACTGTGATTCAGAAAAAATCATTCATCCTGTATCGTGGTGAATGGCTAAGAGATGGGTAAAATGAAGATTAGAGACCGTTGATTAGGCCACTAGAGAATCTATGTGGGATTAAGTGGGGCCTGGAGCAAAGGAATGCTAAGAAAACAACCATAATATTTACATTTATACAATAAAATAAACTGGGGCAATCTAGGAGTGGATTGACCCAAAACACAATCCATGTATTTCTTCTCAAATATCCAGCTTCTTCATCCATATCTTCGTATAAAACTATTTCAGCACATGAAGTAATTGATGTTTTCTTATTTCTTCCAGTCTAAACACAAACCCTGCATGCTTTCTCCCAGACACAAAACATCAAGAAGAAGGCTATTTTAAACATGGTTTTGTTTGAGCAAGGAGTAGGTGAAATTGCAACATACGTGACCTTGTGACAAAGTCTATCTAAAGGAAGTTTCTTAAAAGCCTATCACGCTTTTGTAGCAATTTTATTAGATGTATATTTTTAAAAATACGAAATATATTAAAATTTAATGAGTCCATATTTTGTCTGCATGTACCAAAAAGCCAACGATGATCCTTTTTGTCTGGAGATGCACTTTTAGGTGCCCATGCTCAAGGTCTACACTATGCTATCTCTCTACACCCTTTTGTTTTACCCCTCCAGAGACTGATATTAGGAATACTTGGAAGGGAAATTAGAAAGATAATCTGTCATTGTAAATTCATGATACGAGGCTAAATGACTCATGAGCAGTAAAACTCATAAGCTGAGTCCTTAACAGCATGTTCAGACAAAGTATTCAATCCATGCCTGCTGACAAATGACTGCAGTTCCAGGTAATGAGATTAAATACCTGAGAGAAATACTTTCCACAGCAGAAACAATCTCTACTTAATTGTCCTGGGGATTGTTCAAATTACCTTGTCATCTGTGTGAAGAAGCCATATATTTGGCATTCATTTAATGCATTCTCTTCTCTCCAACAATCAATAAATTTAAAGGTGGTTCCTAACGTAAAGTCATGATGTGCAATTTTGCACAAGGTTTTACCTCTCATTGCAATGTAATCTGGTGCAATCGTTGTTGCCACATGGAATTACACATTCCAGCTGCTTAATTGGCACACCTAAAACTTCATAGCAACTCTAGGAAAGACTCAAATCTTTAAAATTTCTATTTTCATCATCTCATCTCAGCCCTTAATAAAGAAGAATCATCAAAATGAATGATTCCATTGTTCCCTTGGCAAAACACTTTTCTATCACTCATCAAAACATGATCAACTACTCTATTCTTTTGAATTAGAAAAGAAAAACTTCAAAAAAGAGCAAAGCAAAGACTAAAGGTATTTTCAATTATAAATTAAAGTGAGTCTGACAACATCTAAACAAAAGTTTTAAAAGCTATTATACTTCATTATTTCTTTCACTTCTAAAAATAATTGCATAATGCAATGATTTCTTTCTAAAAAAGAAAACCTATGGAAACAATGATATTATATTAATTACATAACATAAAGTGACAAAAGTAAAGCATTTGAGGAATTGATTTGCTGTAAGACAGTGTCCCTAGAGGAGACTGTTCTGTGTTTTACGTGTTGAGTTCCTATATTTTAGTCTAAATCATTTGCACAACCTAGAAGGACAGTGTCAAAAAGAAGTATCTAGAATCGCATCCTCAGGAAAAACAACAGACAAAAATGGAATTGAAGTTAGCCTAAGAACATTTCCTAGCTCTTGAAGATACCAGATTCATGGCAGAATACAAGAAATTTCTCTAAAGAACAGATTTTAACACATCCTGCCAGTTATTGCCCAAAGCCAATTGTGCACATTAACAGAAAATTTGCCTAATTTACAAATACCACATCAAAAATAATCTGGCCAAATTTCATTGTGAAAGCACTCTATATAAAAATCAGATTAATCCTGTGAATTTTGTTTTTTCTCTGTCCTTTTCATTGTAATACTTAAAACCTATACTACCAGTAGCCATGCCTTCTGATTTCAAAGAGTAAGAGTTACATATTCTTTTCAATTAAGGAACAAAATGACTAGGACAAGATCAATATTATTTTTAATAACTCACACCTGAGAATCAAGTTCATTAACGGTCAGTCCTTAGAAACTGTGCTAGGCTTCACCCTAGCCCTAGGCAGTTTCTTTTTAAATGCTTTGCCTTGTGTGTGTTTTTCCTTGATTATATATTACACAAATTGTCCCCACACCTACCTTCCCAAAGAAGCCAATTAGACTATACAATCCTGTGACTGAACAAACACTTTCTGGAAGGTACGCTCATTAATGTTTTGCTTCTGGGCTTTGGCATCCAGAGTGCCCTTGCCTGCAATGTTCTTTGCTCCTGCACACCCACTTCCTTTTGCTTAACTAACTGCTGCTTCTAAATGAAGACTCATAGCAGACCCATCCCATCCTCCAGAAAGCCTTAATTGGTCTTCAGCACTGGACTGGGTGACCTTCCATGTTCTCCCAAACATTCTCCCTTTACCTATACAACGGCCCCCTTGTCCTGTATTACTGTGTTCCTTGGACTTACTTATATCCCCTACAGCATCCCATGACAACAATGCAAATATGCTATTCGCTAAGTACTTTAAAGGCCCCGAATTTAGTACTGTATGTTCATTAGTCTTATTAAATTAATATGAATCTTTACTTGTATTTTAGGGAACATCTGCACTGTTAACGAACTTTTCACAACTACAAGATATAAACATAGTGCTGAGATCTTCTGGAACTTGCTTTGCTTCTCTGACAATCTGACTTCAAGAAAACAGTAAGCTTTTCCAGATGGGCTTCATTTATAAAATAGGAAGATTAGAATAAATAGTATATAACTCCTGCCCAGGAAGCGCAAGGACCAGAGTTTGATCCCTAGTACCAAAAAAAAAAATAGTATATAAGATTCATTATAGGTCTGAAGTGACAATATTAAATTCCACCTCGAGTACATGGTGATGAAGAATATTAACTGATGAATAAGGGATTATGTAAATTGGATTTATTTTGATTTTCCAGATAAAAGCTATCTAATTTTTTTTTTTTTTGCTTAAATTCTTTTGTTGGTACATTTTAGGTATACAATACATTTACATTTATCATTGGGTGCTTGTACCTGTACATGATGTATCTTGGTTCTTATTTTTTCCCCATTACCTATGCGCCCTTCACCCCTCCACCCTTCCCTATTTACATACTTCGTTTCCATTTTTTCTTTCTTTTCTCATAATTTTTCCTTTCCATTTTTCCTTTCCCCATCTCCTCCCACCACCTCTACCCCTTTGGACCTTTTCCTATTTCAAAGTATCAATTATTAGTTATTAATCCTTTTAGTTCTTATTTACACTCTCAGTTTCTCACACTAGAGAAACTATTCGGTATTTACAAATGTGTAAAGCTATCTAATTTTAAAGGAAAAGGAAAGAGTTTACTTCAAAAACTGTTTGTAGTTTGTCAGTCAAAGGTAACAGGCTCATTAGTTTTGCCCTAAATTTAAATATATCATAGGTTAATGGGCCTGGAGATAATTAACAACAGTCAGCTTAGGTAGTTAATGTATACAGAAATCAATCTCTGCAGATGTTTTGATTGAAAAGGCACTTAATAAGCATGAAACTATAGCTGGTCCCTTAATAATGTCATTATTATTTTGTCAACATCAGTCATATGTTGGGGACCTGCCAGATGTGGTTGAGCCTGGGCCTAGGATGGTTCTAACTTCCGCAGAAGAGGCCATTTCAGAACTATGAAACCAGCATTTTGCAACATTTGAATCTGTTTCAAAATGTCTTCTTTTACAGCTCACAAGATACATTCCTGAGGACAGAGGGGAACATTGCTTTTTCAAAGTTCAAGCACAATTTCAAGCATACCAACTCAAGAAAAAGCAAATCTCTAATTAGCCAGTATTGCAAATTAGAAATCAAGGCATTTAATTAACATTTAAAATAAGCTAAGAGAAAAATACTGGAAGGGACATTTGTAATAAGCAGTAGCCAAGTATGTAGCTGTGATTCATAATCTCACTTTTGCAAATTATGTACAAAACCATTAAAACTCTCAGATTTACTTTGTGCTTCTTTAAGAAATTTTATGACCATTCATACATGCAGCAATAAAGATGCTGTTAGAATAGGTTTCAGAGAGCACCTCTGGCATTCTCATGGGTTAATTTATCTGACATCACCCAGGAAATGTTTCCTTTTTCCTTGTGTTTTCAAACCAGCACTGGAAAAGCCTGTCTATGTCATAGATCACAGGAAAAAGAATGTGGCCACACCTTGATTAAATGAAATGAGTAATAAGTGGACCTTCTTAAATTATATGAGTAAACATAACATTAATTTTAAAAACGTTAATTACAAAGGGCACAACTGCCACACTGACATCTAAATCTAATCAGTTTTCCTTACAAAAGCAGAAAATAAATTATGAAAATGCTGCTACTTTGTAATTCCCTGCCAACACACTTCTGCCACTTTCGTTTTTCAGGACCCCTACAGGCACTCACCCCACAGACTGATTTCCTTGTAAGATAAAAAAGCACATTCCAAGGAGAGGGAAAGGAAAAACACATTCTTTAAAGGTTACAAGAAGTTAAGCACATTCCTTCTTTACCATGGCAACTTAACAGCCAAACAAAGTTATATTTGCCGTATCTTATAAATTGTATTTCTCGATTAATTAAACTAAAACATTACAATGTGTAATCCTTAAAATATGATTTTTCAAAGTATATTAAATGCAAGTAGCCATAAATTCTATAGAAACAGTGACATTTCATGGTAATAAAACTGCTGAGAAAACCACAAAGCAAATCCAGAGAAATTTTTACTGGTGTTGGAAAAGTTTTCAAAGCAACAAAAACTACCTTGAAAGAAAACTAAGGCTTACCTTTTTTCTACCTTCTTCCAAAGAACTCAAGAGAGGCTCTTCTCTGAAGGTTTCAGACTACAAGTGAAGCCTTGGACTACTGGTTTTATAGGGTTTGCACAGAGGCCACGCCTAGCAACCAGAAGTTAGTAATTGGCTGTCTTTTGTTTGAAGCACAAACCTCAGCTTTCTCCAAAAACAAAGTGAAACAAGTTTTGCAAAACTACTCACTAAACCAATCAGCTGATAGTAAAAAGGGAAGGAAAATAGGAAGGGCAAATTGTTCCTCCTCTTTCTTTTGCATTCTCCTCCCCAAGGAGAAGAATGCCACAGAGCTTCAAGTATGTTAAGCTATCAGCCCAATCCTGACACAATTACTGGTGCACTTTTCCAACTAAGTTGTCTATAAAATAAAATGTATGATGAATGGAACATTAGGAAAACAACTATGGTAGAATCTATAAGAGCCAGCAGGTTACAATCACTATATTTCAATTTCTAAATGTGACTTTTTCCCCACTGCCCTTCCATTCTAGTGTGCTCATGCTTAGATTATACATGCTCTAATTTCTTGAAAGTTTGTTTATTCTTCCTAGAGGCTGCCAAACTCCAAGCAGTCATACAAATGGAACCAATGACAAATGTGCTGGATTTCTTTTACTGGGATCCACCAAATCGACCTTGTAAACAGCTTATAACTGCTAAACTCTTCAATAGGACTTCCATGTTGGATTCTGAAGTCCCCTGGACCTTCTCCTTATCCTCTTTGTGGGAGGCTATTACTAGTTCCTCCCAGTGGAAACCCTTGTTGCCTATATTCATAGCAATCCTGCTCACCTTATAATTTGGCCCATGTATTCTTAACTATTTCTTTGGCTTTGTCTCCTCCAGACTCAAAGCTATACAGCTACCCAGATGACAGTGCCTGGTGCCCATCAAAGGCCTTTAGATAGACCCTCTGGAGAGTAACTCTAACTGCTGATCACAACTACAACCCTATTCAGACAGAAGTAGCCAGAATGCCCCCTCACCCTTTGCCCCCTCACAGCAGTTAGGGGTTCTTCTTCAGAGGGGAGGATTTTGCAGATAGGTAAGTTAATTAGATATCTTGTAGGCAGTTAGACAGGGCCAACCCAGGAGGAGCCAACATGGAGGAGAGTGAAGACACATTCACTGCAGGCCAGCATTGTAAAAGGAGAGAAATTAGCACACCCATGTAGGATAAATAACAGTGATTGATATTCTAAACAGGTATCAATCACCTGGGTAGGGCACCAAGGTCTTAACCCAGCCTCTCCCGAGAAATATCCCTGACCCTCACCCTTACGGAAAATCCTTGTAACTTGCTACCTGACGTGCTCCCCCATTGGACCCCCATTTAATCAATATTACCTGGGTGACTGTACTTGTAATCTTATTGGATGGTCGTGGCTTTGGTCCACCTCATGCCCACCTTGTAAATTTCCTTTGGGTCTTATAGTTCTGTCCCACTTTGTACCCGCCTCACCACATGGCTTTGCTGTATAAAACATCTCTGAAAAGTGGGGTGAGCGGGCAACCTACTTTCCATTCCCCCTTCTGTCTCTCTTAGAGAGAAGCTTTCTTCCTCTTAATAAATGTTTCCTACTTTTAACTTCCAAAACAACAATTAAAAAAAAAGGGAAAGCACAGGTTTGCATTCCAGCTCCATTGCTTATTACTATGCTATCTTCAGGATTTCCCTGAACTTGTTACTACTTTTGTATATAGGAATATTATTCCCAAGGCTGCCTATTCACTGGAATTCTTGTGGTGTGATCAAAATATACCATTGAATATTTAAATTTTTAAAAAAATATTAAATTAAAAGACATGGTCCTTAATCTCCCTCACATTACTCTCCCTGGCCTCAAACACGGGCATCCCATTGTTCTCACCACTCACTCTCATGTGTGTCTTTAGTTGCAGTCATTGCTACCCAGATGTCCTGAAATTGATTCAAAACGTTTATGGCATTTTTTTTTTTTTTTTTTTTTTTGGTACCAGCGATCCCACTCGGGACCTTGCACTTGTGAGGCCAGCGCCGGAACCACTGACCTAAATCCCCGGCCCGTTTATGGCAATTTTTGTGAAATAAAAATTTTATCATGTTTCCTCATCCATTTTATTCACCACATCTGGGACACTGTGATCTCTCACTTTTTCCCCAAACTCAAAATGCTCATGAAAGATAAGCAATAGAATTGGTTCAGCACGGGGAGACAGCAATGGCAGTTCAACTAAGAAGATCAGTCACAAAAGAGGACCTCTAGAGCTGCTTCAGAAAGTGGCAAGATGCCCTTCCCTTTTGCAAAAATTCTATCTCCCTGTTTCCTTTTATCTACCTTTTATTTTGTTTTTAAATTTATTTGGGTTTCTCATACAAGAAAAACCATGTGATATTTAAGCTTGGGTGTCTGATTTACTTCCCTTAGTGGTAGTTGGATGGGGGAGGATGAGGAAAGAAGGATGAAGATGTGTTATGGATGTGTACCAACTCCGCACAGTGAATGTAAGTATTATGCATTGTAAACATTTACTAATAAAAAACCCCACCATTTTTTAAAAAAGGAAGTTACAAGAATGATGGGATAAGTTTGTCCCAAGCCAGAGATAATATTATGAGGGGCAGTAATGGCAATGTGTTTTGTTACTATAATAAATTTAAAAAATTGGATTCTCTGTAGTTTTTTTTATCACAATGGGTGTGTGTGTGTGTGTGTGTGTGTGTGTGTGTGTGTGTGTATATATATATATATATTTTTTTTTTTTTTTTTTTTTTGGTACCGGGGCTCTAACTCGGGATGTTGGGCTTGGGCTTTTGAGGCAGGCAGCAGAACCACTGAGCTAAATTCCAGGCCCCACAATGGGTATATTTGTAAACTGTATCATGATGCAGTGATTAGTATTTTTCTGTTTATATTGCACAAGCATTTTCCCTACTTTCTTACTATTTTTGTATTTGATTTATATAAATAAAAATATAAAACAGATAAATCTCCAGATTGGTTCAAAATTTTGAATAAACTTAGCACTAAAATATTTGATCATTATGACATTCTGTAAAAGCATCGGTATTAGAGAAAGGCCTGTCTACATTAGTTTTTAATAAAAAAGTTATATATAAATTTTGATGGATAGATTCTTGACATTTTAAAATAGTTGAACAATAGATCAAGGAACTAGAACTATGAATTGGAAGGATTAATAGAGGAACAATTTACCACAGAACAGATATTCTAAGAAATTTCCCACGTGATGTAAGGAAGTACAGGAAGTGATTCACTTTTTTTTCATGAAACCTTACAAAATAGTATATGATGTTTTCATTAAACTGTGTACACGTGTGATCTCTCTTAGAACATATGGCTCTATTGATTTTGCCATCATGGTTTGTTCCTCTTCCTCTTTTCCTCATAGGTATTTTAGGTAATTAAATATGTCAAGTTTAGAAAAACAATGAAAATACCTTTTTAAGATAAGCAATATTTATAACACATTCTAAGTCGTCAGTGTCCATTTCAATGAAGCTAATACATCTTGCAATAGGAAGATCATCTAATCTGAATATGAGAAAACAGTCTGTATTTTTAGCACTTGTCTCATGTATGTGCTAAAAATAAAAATAACTAATTAGCTACTAGTTAATTTGATTAACATCATTGCAAATTGATCTTGACAGATGTAGACTAGGATTCTAATATATTTCTGTTGTCAGCTGAGAGGGGAAAAGGTAATTATATAAATTTCGTTTGTTTTCTTTTGTTTTCTCTTTGCATTCATATTCCTAACTCTGACAATGGGAATGTTGGAACATACTTACCCATTGACACTCTTGTGAAATGAAAAGAAATTCATGCTTTTCAAAATAAAATATTGCTACCTACAAGAAATATACAGTCTCATTTTGTTTTGTCTTTGTTGATCCCTGTAGCAGTAAAGTGGAATTGCTGTATGTATGTGGACTTTAATGCTTCAGTAAACTTATAATAATACCAATAAACACAAAACTTGTTGTATAAATAAGAAAAAAAGTTTAAAGTACAGCTTTCCAAAATTAACTTCCAGATGTAACTCTACAAGGCAAGGGAAGTCCCAACCGTACAAGATAAGAAAGTCAGTCACATGGGAATATTCCTGTGAATAGCACATTGGGATTTTTTTCCCATATGATAATAATGCCAACTGGGTTTGTGGAAGTTGAAGAAAGTTCGCATATGTTCTCATTAACGTCCAAGGGAGAGGCATAGTTAAATACAGTTTGTGAGTGGAATGGCACATACCACCCCTCCAAGGAAGTGACTCACCACTTCCTGCTTCTCAAAGAGGATGACTCATCAGCTCCACATACTTTACACACAGGGAGAGCACATAGAACAAAGGAATAGAAGAAAAGAAAGTATTATAAGCAACCATCCTATGTCACATTTTCACAGGATACTTATTTTTACTCCTTTAGTGTAAAATCTGATAATAAAACAAAACCATTAAACAAAATATGGAGCCTATCACATATACAACACCATAAAGTAATCAAGAATTCATGTAAGACTCTAGTAAAATACCTGATTTCAATAAAGTATCGGTTCAACCTTTTATTGTTAAGCTGTCTTAGCATTTTTGCCTTTATGGAAGACAGATATAGTCAGAATCTGGAAAAGCAGCAGCATACTAAAAACTCAAAATCTCTCCACAGCTTCCTTATACACTCACACCTACTATGGATAGCCAATGAGAATACTGGTTTTCATTTCTAATGAGAACTGGTGCTATAAATGGCACACAGTCTTAGTTTGCAATGTTATTATTATTATCATTATCATTGCTATTATTCCTTACTCATCATCAACATCATATAAAATATAGCGAGAAATTTTTTTGTCAAATTTGACCCTCTCCACCTCTGAAGCAGCTCCATCGGTAGCTTACCATAGAGGTGCGACTTTGCTGGGTCTCACTTCAGAAAAACAGAAAAGACAAAATGAGATGTGTATGAACAAATTCAGAAAAGAAAATTCATTTTCTTAAATATACCTGATGTACAGATAAGTTATTTCTGCATATATCTGGTACAGATCACCTATCTGGTGATTGCTTTAAAATGCAATAGATTATCTCATAAATTGTCTTTCCTTCCCTTACTGTGTTAACAGTTGTGGTGGTCTGAAGTCATTTTACACTACAGTTTTAATTTGCCTTTCCCCAATGAACTTGTTACCTTTTTAAAGGTATATTGGTTATTGGATATGCTCTTTCTTGAACTGCCAGCTCAAGTGTTTAGCCCATTTTCTTATGGATTATCATCTTACTAGTTTATTGGAGTTATTTATATATTGATATTAAAATAAAAAGGAAAAAGCAGACATACCTCAAAGTAGATGTTATTTAATAGAAATTTGATTCTCCTATATTTGTTTTACACACAGACACACACACACACACACACACGCCCACAGGCATAATTGAACAGATCTAAAGTTGATTGCAGTCTTGAGCCCAGGAGAATGACAAACACTGTGGGTTAAGTACAGTGTATATGAATCTGCTCTGCTCTCGTCTTCCTGTCAGCATAGGCACATGGACATTGCAGAAGTTGACACCACGGCTAGGTTCCAGGCCTTAAAGCAGGTCTCACTACTGAGGTAGTCATCAGCAGTTGAGATCACCTACATCAAAAACAAGAGCTTTTTCTTTCCCATTTCATTAGATTTTCTGAAATTTGGTAGAGTTATGTTACTCAAAATAAGAGGGAAAAAAAGCTGAATATTCATTTATATTAAATTTATTGCTCTTCTCAGTGTGAGCTCTTGAGGTAAATTTTAATTTGATATATCACTTATAGAAATTTCTTTTTTCAAAAACTTACTGTCATTATTAAAGCCCCCAAATAGAAGCTACTTGTGCTAGGATCTTATCTGTTTGCCTCTGCACATTTTCTTTCGTGGGTAAAAATATCTTACAGAAAATAAATCAAATTTGATGATAGCTTATTATTTATTATTGAGTGACTTAGAAAATGTCATTAAATGATTTGGTAGTTTAATTATTATAGATCTGTGGGCTAAATCATACAAGGTTTCATAATGTTGTCTTTTTCAAAAGTCTTTTTTATATTTGATGTAATATCCCCATTTTTTTCCTATACTGTCACAAAGAAAGAAAATAAGAAGTGTTACATTCGCTATTACAACAAATTTTATTCCAATAAATTTGCAGAAAATTGTGGGGGAGAAAAATAAAAGTGTGTGTTAAGGTCAAGTGGTCCAACTGTTGTTTATTTCAAGTAGAGCTGAGTTCCTTAAACCCAAACTTGTGAAATTTCGAGTTTCTTAATGACAGTTTAAATGCCACATATTTGGTACACAAATTCTTCTATTACCTTTGGTAATCTCAGCTTTTGGAGTGATTTTATTCTTCCAGAGCTTCAACCTAAAACCTTTTGATGAGAAAAAAAGAAATACATGAATTCATAGCAAGAATTTTTGCATTATATTTATTTTATTAAATGATATTATATATTATATTTTATATATTTATAAATAGGAAACTTCTGTGTTTAGTACAAGTTGGAAAAGCTAAATTAAGTAACAGCCAGCTGAAGGACAATAGGAAATAAGAAATGAAAGATTAAAAAGTAGGTATTATTTGTTCAAAAGCCCAGTTGTCCCGCTTCATTAGGAAGGATGTAAAGGGACACAGACATTTGGAAGATAATCTGGCAATTTTTACAAAGTTAAAGATAATCTTATCATCCAAAGCAGCAATTGGGGTCTTAGATTTTACCTAAATTAGTTGGAAAACTTATGTCCACACAAAAACACACAGGAGTGTTTATAGCAGTTTATTCATAAGTACCAAAAATTAGAAACCACCATCATGTGTTTAAGACGTGAAAGAAGAAACTATGGTCCAGTCATACAATGGAATGTTATTTAAAGATAAAAGGAAATATTATCAAACCAGGTAGAAGAAATGTGGGTACATACTGCTACGTGAGGGAAGTCAGTATAAAAATGTTACATAGGTATGGGATATATGACTCCAACACTGTGCTTCCTGAAAAAGGCAACTATAAAGTGAAAAAAATCAATGTTTAGTAAGGTGCATGAGCAGGGGACAGGAATACAGGTGGAGCACAGGTGATGTTTAGGAATAGTATTATTCCATTGGTGCTATGATGGTGTATACATGCATTACACATGTGGCAAATCTCAAAGAACTGTGCAACATGAAGAGAGAGCACTCATGTCACCTGGAACCATTGGTTAATAATAATGTATGAATTTTGCTTTCCGAATATAATTAATCCACAACACTATCTCAGGATATTAGTAAGAGGAGAGACAGCAGAGGGAAATGGAGTTTTAGCACTCTGTACTTTCTGCTCAATTTTTTTGTAATCCTAAAGTTTATTTAAAAGCTAAAGTTTATTAATAAAGAAAGTTTATATTACTAAGATTTCTAAGATATATTAGGACTATAAAATCCCTAATGTAATCATTAAAAAATTATTATAGAATCCAACCCCCCAAAACAGTGTTGTACAGTGCAGCAAGTCTTCTCATTATCAGTGTCAAATCCGTGGGTTCATGACATGAGCGAGAGATTTACATTCTTAAATGCAAGAACATGTCTGTTTTGATTTTTACCTTAATAATTTAAAAAGCCATTAAAATAATTGTGGCTATAATCATTTTTAAAGTAATGGGTTCCCATGTTACACAGTATGAATAATATGGAGCTAAGTTTAAAATTATAGTGTGTATATATATATATATATATATGTTTACATATAACATAATGTTTATATGTTATATATTCAATGGAAATATTTTATGAAAATAATATATAATCTCTGAGTTGAGACTATTATCCATTGCTGAGAGCCTAATATAAAAGAATTAAAAGATATTGTTAACATGGAATAATGAAAATTCTCATATAGAAAAATATAAATAAAATCAGATTCTCTGAAGAACATCAACACTTATTTTTGTGGATTAACAAAGGGTGATTATCAACATATATTAGGAGCTTTTATGAATTGTTGAGGGAAAGAAAGGAAACGATTTAAATAACAACAAACATAATAAAAATATGAATATTCAGAGATGGAACCCAAGTGATCAAACAGAAAAGCTGTTCAAATTTACAGTCCTGAAGGAAACACTGTTTAAAGGATCCAGTGGACTACTGATAAACACCCAGCACACTGATGATAACCAAAGCATTCTATGCCACCTTTCCGGGCAAAACTAATAAAGAAGAGTGCTCTTAGGCTGGAGAAAGGGACAGGTAAATGGTGGAGCACTTGCATAGGTAGCACAAGGCCCTAGGTTTGATCACCAACATTATCAATGTGTCCTTATATGAAACAACTATTAAAATAAAATACATAGAGAAAAGGATAGTCCTGAGAGGCAGGTAGTAAACCAAGGGAAAGTAATTCTATGCAATCAAGCACAACAGAAAGTATGAAGAAGATCTTGAAAGGTTATTTGGCCTGTTTACAATAGGCCTTCGACTAGAAAATTAAAAGGAAGATGATGGTCTTAATGTTAAAAGCATAGTGGAGAGAAAGAGGTTTGAGAAAAGCATAGGATGTAGAATTAAGCACAGATTATTTTAGATACACTTATACTTTCCTAAATACTGAGAAAACAAAGAAGAACAACAATTGGAGGTAGGATTAGGAAATTGGAATTGCTTTGTTGTGTAGTGTAAGAGCTATTAAAATGAGGAAAAACAACAGCATAGTCTATGGAACAAGTTTACAGAAGGTTTGGGAGCATAGAAGAGCCAGGACAGAGAGTTTCTGCTCTTCACCCTTTAGAAATGTGGGATATCTGTTCCACTGAGAACCTCTCATACCCTCCTTTCCTAATGGAAGACATGATGAGAAGAAGGTGAACAACTTAGTCCTCTAATGTGACAAAGGTAGTAATGCTGAGGGATCAGACTGAGATGTAGAGCTAGCAAGAATTTCCAAAGGAAATATGATGGGAAGGAGCAAGAAGAAGACAACCATACACAAGCCAAGAGGAGAGACCTGGGACAAATCCTTTCCTCACAGCCTTCAGTAGCAACCAACCCAGCTGACTCCTTAAAATGAGCTTCCACCCACCAGAACTGTGAGACAATGCATTTCTGTTGGCTAAGTCTGTACAGAATCAAGGCTAGATGGTCCTAGACCAGAGGGAAGGAGATGAATATATCAGAACGTCTCCCCATGGAGCAGTTGTCTTTCCATGCCTGCAGAAACACAGCTAAAGACACATCCCTAGGTGTCCACCTCAGTGCTTGCAGGTCCTGAGCTGCTTGCAGTTGAAAAAGAAGTTTTGCTCACTTATGAAGAGAAAAGACACATTTTTTATACGGCTTTGGATAAAGAACAGCAGAATAACCCTTTGGATAATCTTTGTTTCTTGATGTCTTGAAAAATTGATAATTATAGGGAGTTTTTAAGAGACTTTGCCTAGGGTGCAGTTATCCTTGATTGTAACAAGCTCCTAAAGCAACTGATTTCACTTTTATGTTGCAAGACAGATAACGGAAATTTAAGTGAAAGCTGGGAGGCTTGAGTTTCACAATACATCACAGTTTTTTCAGCAAGTATAATGAAGGAAATGGGCATAAGACCATTAACAGTATTAACAGCCAAATAATTCAAAATGCCTTGCAATATCTTGGGAATCATACAGACATATTGGAAGGGATTGCTATGCAGTATATGAAACTCAGTCTCTCAACTTTTTTAGGTATTTTTATTTTTATATATCCATATAAGTATGGACGATCACAAAACTGTCATAAAATGAGCATCAAAATATAACATAAGAAGCTGGGGGGCTGCACACTTTTATAACTATGATCATCTTTAAGCTCAAAGCCAAACATGCAAATTCTAACATTTTCCCTAAATCTGATACATAACCAGAAGTCTTTTGGAGAGACTAAAAATAAGCAAAATATGAAAAAGAAAGGATTCTAAATTCCACATATGATACCCAGGTTCAGAACCACCTTGAGAAATTCCAAGTTAGCTAATAGGTTTATGTTGGGCAATCCAAGGAATTAAAGATCCTTAGGCTTTGTTAGAAGCTCCTCTACCCACTTGAAACTGTGTCCCGGTGCCTGGTTAAGGTTTTGCATTTTTAAAAGGCTGTGGCAGGTGCTTGCAATATGCACACTGACGTTTAATTTCCATCTGGATGAACAAGAAGTCAGCTGCCTACAGCTGAGGCTTATTTGCTGTAGAAAAGGTAAATTTGCTCAAAGTATTCTAAGTGTAAAGAGAATAAAGGCTTACTTGAGTAAAGAGGGAACACAAAATAAAAACTCACTGGGATTAGAAATGGTGGGTTAGGCAAATATTTTTATGGCATTTGATATTTGCAATATGGAAATGAAATGCATATCAGAGGAAGTGCCTCATGAACTTCTTAAATCGTAGTGTCTCCTAAACTTCCTTTAATCTGAAACATCTAAGTTATATATCTATGTAGTTTACGTGTACTAAGTTTAATATAACTATGAGATATTTTTAAAATTCTATACATGGGATTTTGTTCAAAGCAAATACTTCTTTTTTAAAAAAATTATTTTATTGGTACATTTTGGGTATACAATATGTTTACATTTATCACTGGGTGCTTGAACCTGTACATGATGTATCTTGGTTCTTAAATTTTTCCCCATTACCTGTGTGCTCTTCACCCCCTCCACCCTTCCTTATTTACACAGATTTCGTTTCCATTTTTTTTCTTTTCTCATAATTTTTCCTTTCCCTTAAGAGAGTTATTCAATAGTGAATGTCATTTCCATAAAAAAACCTTTTTGAAAAAAACATTAATGATGAAATTGTCTTGTGAACAAACTTGCTTTGCACAAGTAGTTACAAAATTTCTCAATGTCTAACTGGTTTCCTGAATCATGACTTCAAAAATTGCCCTGAGGCAGGGGAGTAAGAAAGGCAAATTTGAGAGGGACTGCAGAGTTCTGTCCAAACCTAAATAAGGGGAAAATAGTACCATTCCTGTCCAGAAATACACGTACATTTATTTAATAGGCTGTTCAGCCATAACATGACAGATTCTTAAAACTGAAATATGAAATCTTGGGGGGGAAAAGCAGATTATTTTTCCAAATTACTCATTCCACCCTAAGGAGAAGTAGTAGAAAAGACACATTTTCCTCTGAAAGAGGCCAAGCAGAATTCCCTAAACTACTTGTGTCTTGAAGAAGCTGTAGTGCTTAATAATTACAGTAAAGTTATTTCACCTATTGAGACATAGTATTCTTTATTTGTGAAAGTCTTACAGAGGTTTAGGAAAGGCTTTAAAACTGACTTCTAGGTCAGGACATTCTCTGAGTTGGGTTCTGTTTGTTGAACTTTTTACAAATTTTAAGACCCAGCTCAAAATCCAGTTTTGTGTA